CACACACACACACACACACACACACCCACACCCCTCCCAGCAAAAGTGAGCCTTGACGTTTCAGAGCCACAGTGATTGGCATGTGTGAGAAGCAGTGATTCAGCTCGGCCAGAGAAGATGGTCCTGTCACCCTGTCAGTTTCCACCCTTCTCTGGGTCCTATGGGTCTCTCTCTTTAATGTCCTGGAGATCCCAAGGTTATAAGCCACTTACTCATGGATGGTAAATGGATTGTTTTTCTCTATTTATAAATATGATAGAAGTTGTCTCCTGTTACTCATGTAAGACCCACAGACCAACAGTTTCTCACTTAAAACCAGGGACTCTTGTAAGAGAAAGCATGTGTGTGTGTGTGTGTGTGTGTGTGTGTGTGTGTGTGTGTGTGTGTGTGTGAGAGAGAGAGAGAGAGAGAGAGAGAGAGGGAGAGAGAGCTGTGACTTCCTCCATCACCCTCCACCTTGGCTTTTTGATGTCTCACTGAACCTGGAGTTCGCCTCCGGCCAGGCTACTTAGCCAGCAAGCCTCAGGGAAGCGCCTGCCTTTGTCTTCTCAGTACTAGAATTATAGATCTGCACGCTGTGCCCAGTGTCCCCTCGCCCCCACCCCATAAGTCCTCATGCTTGGGAGGCATCTCCCCAGCCCCTGCTGGGAAGTTTTAAACGTGAAATCCACAAGAAAGAAAGAAAGATGGGAACTTACTTCTCCATTTCAGAAAGGAAATATAGATCATTAATGGCAAAATTGATAGTGATAACTCTGTGTCCAAATATCCGGCGTTTTATAAGGACTGTTTCTCCGTTCTCCTGGTCTGTGCTCCGGGCTCCAGGGGACACAGGGGTGTGACGTATGGATATGGTGGTGGGTGATGCAGAGAAATCTAGCAGAGAAACAACACGGAATTACAATCTGGTTTGATCCTATTTCTCTCGGGTCCTTCACCCTGGGCGTGACCTCTCTGAACTCATGTTCTGTACCTGTTATAAATGTCATGCCCTGCACCTGGGTGCAGCCTCTTACTCATACTTGAATACCTGCTGAAGTCGTCACCTGCTCAGGTGTGTGACAACACCCATAGCAAAAGGTAACTAATAAACTAATTCATTACAAGAGCAATTGAGTGTTGAAGGCTGTTTTCATGGCACAATCACGGCTGTGACCAAGCTAATCTATAAGGCATTCTGCAGAGAAGGTAAAAACTGTGCATGCAGACTCGACTTTTCAAATGGGAGTGTGGTTCTGATGGACAGTGACTCAGGGAGGAGTCAATGTTTAGCATCTAGGTGGGAATTTGAAAAACAACAAACGTCTTAACTCAAGAAAAGTTTGTTAAAGGGAAGGAGAATAGAAAGCTAAGGTAGAGAATGACAGATCTCAAATTCAGGGTTCCGAGGGACCACCAGACAGATTCTTGGGGGTTAGACCTTTATCAGGAGAGTTATCAGCACCTTGAGTGGCTAGAGAGATGGACAACAGAATGGCGGGCACCCTAAGCAACTCAGGCCATGGTGCCACAGGCAGAGGGTACTGAGCTGGGGGCTCTAAGGAGAGTTAGGTTTAGAGTTTTAAAAATACTTATAACAGGTACAGAACATGAATCCAGAGAGGTCACACCTAGGGTGAAGGACCTGAGAGAAATATGATCAAACCAAATTAAAAAAAAAATCTATGTTGGTGAGAATACGAAGGAGTATAAATTAGCGCAGTGGTTTCTGAAGGTATTTCTTCCACAGAAGCACTGTACATTTGAGTGACTGTTAGAACCACCCAGAAGTCCAGAGAGACATGGCCTGTCACTGCCAATTTCTTCCATGTCATCTCAGACACTTTCCCTGTCTCAACTCTAGTCCAAGCAGCCTGTTTGAAGTTTCTAGGTTGTACTATCTTGTTTTAGGGTTCTAGGCATACTCTCTTCCCACTGTACTTGCCTAATTTGCTCACTCCTGAAAACTCAACTTCATGTCATGTTTTCGAGGTGTTCTTCCCAGACCACTGTCAGTACTAACGAGGGTCCAGCTACAACCATTATTGAAGTCACTCATCATCCTTACATAGTAGTGACAATAGACTAGTTAGTTATTCTGTTGCAAAGTACTGCTAAGCATAGTTCAAAGATGCCTAAGTTATCACCTCAGTTAGGCTTCACAACAGCTCTGTGAGATAAGGATAGTTATGCCCATGCTACAGGTGAGGAAACGGAGGCCTACAGTGACCTTTTAAACTCACACAAGTAAAAGTAGTAGGTATGATCTTTACCACTGAAGTCTCAGCACCTGGTGAAGTACACACCCTAAGGCACTCTTAGCAATGGTCATGAAGGAAGGAATTATTCATGGATGAAGCAGTTGAATAAATCTATACAATGGACACTTTATGCCAGTCAAAAGCTGAGCAGATAGAGGTGTACTGACAGAAAGGGATGTCCAATATAGAACACTAAAGAAAAAGGCAAATTATAAATGGAGAGTTTGTATATATATATATATATATATATATATATATATGTATGTATATATATGTATATATACATATATGTGTATGCATATCCTCAGAATGTAGGCTACGATCAGAATGTAAGCTTCAAAGCATTGGTGATGCTATCTCTAAAGATTTTCATTTCTGTCCTACATGTTCTTGTAATTTTGTTGCCTCTTTATTAATAACATGGAGCAATTATACAGCCAGGCAAACTTTAGAGACATTTTAAAAGACCAGATAAAGCAGCGTAAGGAAATCATTTTAGAAAGAGTGAGTCCTCGCTGGTAAGATAGCCACGCTATGGTAGATGGCGGCACAGAGCAGGACTTGGTGGGTTGTAAAAACACAAAGAACATGACCTTGGGAGAGGCTGGAGAGGGAGGGAGTGCATCTGAGAGAAACCAGCAAGAGGCCAGTGATCAAAATATATTGTACACATGCACAAAATTCTCAAAGAATTAATAAAAAGATTACACATTTAGAATGTGAGCTTTCCAAGTGCCTTTGCTGTTTCCCACACTTGCTGGCTCTTTGAGAAGCGTCACCGTCCCAGAAGGCCTGGCCACCCAGGTTCTGCAGTCTTGTTCACTGGGGCTGATGCAGGCCTGGCCCAAAGCCTTCTGCCTGAGTTCTCATGTGGGCTAGCCATGATGGCGGGGGAGCGACTCACTCTCCTTGGTGTTGTACATTTCCAGGCGGATAAAATCTAGAAGCTGCAGGCGTTTCTTGGGATTTTTCATGAATCTGCGGTAGCTGCAAAAGCTTCTGATGAAGCCGATCATTTTTATCCATCCTTTCTTCTGGGGAAGGAAAGGGGCATCCATTAGCATGGCTACTGTTGGCCAAGAACCTACTGTGTGCCAGCAGACCTGCTATTGGTTACATAGTATCCTCCCTTCTCCAAAGGAACGCTTTTTTTTTTTTTTTTTTGAGCTCCCATTTCAAGGGTGAGGAAACTCATCAGTCTGCCTCCAATGAAGTGGTCCATCAGTAGAAGAACCCAGCTCCAATCAGTCCTCCTACAGCCTTTGCTCAAACTCTTCCCACACTGCCTTCCCGCAGCGAGGGTCAGCACTCCAAACAGGAAGGAACAGAGGACCCAGACTAGTTTCTGCTCACAGGAGAAAGGGACAGCTTAGCTAGCAGATCTTAAAGCGTCACAGAAATAGAGAAATGAGTAGACTCATTTCTAACCCTTAAGAATGTACACACACCCACTCCCACGCTCCTGTCCCCTCCCCCCATACAAGCAAACGGATTCTGCTTCTGCGCTCCTTTAGTAGGGCACAAGGAGGCTGTTCTCCAGGTCATTTGCTGCTAGAAAATTTGATACATCGAGCCAAAAAGCATCTTCGTGATGGGCGTGCTCACTCCTGTACCCCAGTTCGCGGAGAGAGATCAATGCAGACGTGGCTGTGGGGAGCCAGCGGTGAAACACCAGATTTGCACTGGATTTGGGGGCTAGAGACTTTCAGAGTCCAGCCTAGCTTCTCCTTAGATGTGTAATTTGGGCCAATTTACTTGCTCTGCATCTCTGTGTAAGACAAAAACAGCCTTCTGGGATGTGGTGAGCCTCAGTGTGTGTGTGTGTGTGTGTGTGTGTGTGTGTGTGTGTGTGTGTGTGTGTGACAAAGTGTGTGGCCCACAGCAGGCGGTGAGAACATTTGGTGTCTTTCTATCTGACCTGGAAGAGCTGAAATTCAAAGAAAGCTCTCTGGTTCTCCATAGATTCTTTCCAACATCCAGTCACTCATGGTGACCTGGCAGATTTGGTTCACACACAGAAGGGGTGGAGAAAGAAAAAAAAAAAAGCAGCACATATTCGTGTCTACAGTATTGGAGTTAAATCTTATTTTCAGCTATATCTTAATTTAATCTTTGGAGTCTGATAGAATTAGACTCAAACTTCTCTGTCAAACCGACTCAAACCACATGAAAAGACCTCCCTGAGTACCATTCCCATCTCTTCCTCACTCTCTCTCTTCCCACAGGACAAAGGATAAGAGGGGTAATTGTGTTTGGAAGAAGGAATGGGCATTCTCAGCGCCAGCCATTGACGTTGTCTCTCTGGGGTTTGCTGGTTGGTGGGACACTCGGTCCAGGCTTACGCAAGGGGAGGCTTACATTGCCAGTGACGGGATGTGTAAGTCAGACTAATCTTGGTGCAGGAAGATTAGAGAGCCATTTGGCTGATGGCCAACCCACACCCTCCCAATAAGCACGGGCAGCAGAAACACTAACACTTTCGTTTCCGAGTATCTAATCCTGTCCCTGTCACTTGGCTGGTGACAGAGGGGCAGACCAGAAAGGGATTTCCCATCATACTTTTTCTGAGCCTCAGATTATCCTTTAGTAAAATGAGGCTTAAAACACAACCCCCCCACCACCCAAGAGCGATTCTTCCAGTGACGTATCCAACAGCCCCACAGAGGTCATCGTTCCCCAAGCCAACAGTGGCTTTTCTTTCCTCCTCACTGACCTGGGAATCCTGCAGGTGGATCGTTGACTTGGAGGGCTTCCTAGGGGGAGAGTGTGTTTCACTTTCCAACTCCAAAGGACGCGGCGGGAACATTTCTTGGTACTCTCTAAACCTACCAGAAAGGAGACCGAGAATATCAAAGAAACAAAACCAGGGCGCACGAAACACAGCAAGGCAGTCTTGTTTCAAGTCGGCTTCCACATTCCTCTTGCTATCCCAAATCTTACACAGTTAGCCTGTTTTCTTAACACTGTATTCTTTCTTATCCTGTGTGTGTGTGTATGTTTGTGTCTGTTTGTATATGTGTATGTTTGTGTGTATGTATATATGTGTGTATGTATATGTGTGTCTGTGTGTGTGCATATGTGTTTGTGTATTTGTGTCTGTGTGTATACATGGGTGTGTGTCTGTGTATGTGTGTGTTTATGTGTGTATGTATGCATATATGTGTGTATTTATATGTGTCTCTGTGTGTGCATATGTGTTTGTGTGTGTATATGTGTGTGTGCTTGTGTATGTGTGTGTTTGTATGTGTATGTATGTATATATGTGTGTTTGTATGTGTGTCTGTGTGTGCATAAATGTTTGCGTGTTTATGTGTGTGTATTTGTATGTTTTTGTGTGTATGTATACGTGTGCCTGTGTATATGTGTGTATGTGTGTTTGTGTGTGTATATATGTGTGTGTTTGTATATATGTTTGTGTGTGTGTTTGTGTGTGTATATGTGTGTGTGTGTTTGTATATGTATGTGTGTGTGCATGTGTGTGTATTTGCATTTGTGTTTGTGTGTGTATTTGCATATATGTTTGTGTGTGTGCATATGTGTATGTGTGTATTTGTGTTTGTATGTGTGTGTGTGTGTGTGTGTGTGTGTGTGTGTGTGTGTGTTTTGCACTGGTGCTGGCAGGCAGGAGATTTCAAAGTAAGTTTGGCGTTTCTCTGGGAGGAGGGCTCTGGCAGTACACTGTGAAGACTCGGAGACCTTTGCTTAATGTGGCTTTTCAAAGCCAGGAAGCAACTCCAGAATGAGCCGCCTTCTCTGAGCATACTCACCACTTTTCTTCCAGAGATTTCATGACGTAGCCCTGGAGCATCAGCAGTGTGGTGGTGGTGATGTTACGCATGTGAACAATTTCTTTCATAAGAGGAGCATCGCACTGCAGTATTTCTTCTAAATGACGAGAAAGAGAGGGGGGAGAGAGAGTCAGTTCTGCTTCCTGCTTGGCCGCTTCATGCGAAAGTCTCACGGTCCTCTGTTCTCACTCCGGCTTCACTCAGAGCCTTCTGCAATCTACAGATCTCTAAAGAATATTTCAAATGTTAAGAAAAATTGTTTTTTTGTAGACAAAATACCATCTTAGTCCCATTTCAAAGACAAAAGTTTAAAGGGAAATAAAATCTTAAATTTTAAACCCATTTCTGTAGTTGGGGTGAAGTTTTTCAGTTTAGGGAGAGGCTTAGGAGAGAAGGAAGAAAATGTAATCTTTGGGTGCAGAAGGAGGGTCCAAGACAGAAATATCAGTGTGGAGTGCAGTGTGGTGCTCTTCATGTTTAGAGGTCGGAAGGCTGGTTAATGAGACTTGGAAGTGTATCAGAGGAACATCTAGATGCTCCTTTCTCTTTGAGACCCCCCAAATAATTATATATAGAACCCATACTGAAAGTCAGTAAATAAATATTTCTTACATGTGGCAATGTATTATGATAAAATATCTCTTCCATTCTAAAAGGCAGGAGTGTTGGCTGGGCTGCAGGTAGAGTTAACAGTGCACCTGAGGTCACTTAAGACTGAAGACTACTAGAGCTGTGTACTTAGGCTGTTAACCTGCCCTTAGGGAACACTGGAACAACTAACCTTCCTTGTCTTAGATTTCCCATGTAATTCATTTTAACAAGGGAAGCTAATACACAGCTGCAGTCTTAAACATGTCCTCTTCCATGCTCCTGTCCCAAGATTAATGCACGTGTGTATGTATGTTATGATAGTCATTTGCTGAGGACAGAAAAATAGGACCAAACCAGCTCTATAAAATAAATGTCCACCATAAATGTTGGAGCAATGTATGGATAGTGCTTATAGCGTTGGATGGTTTGTTACCCGGGTCAGGTGGACTCTGTTAGAATCAGTGACTTCGAAGATCCCTTGTAAGACTGTTAAACATTTCCGTAAAGTACCCTGTTCCTGGTACTTTCTGTGTTGTTCAATAAGAAAGAGCAAAGCCCTTTGCTAGAGACACACACAGGAACATGCAGGCACAGGGACAGATTCACAGGACAGCATTCAGACCCAAACGGATAGACAGAGGACGATGAAAGACCCAGGGAGATTAGAGAATTCAAATCTGGGCTCCCTCTTGTTTAAGTTACACTAAGGATAAGCCCTTTATATTCTCTTATAATTTCTCAACGTGCCCCCAAGGCAATATCAGTGATTCCGAGTTCATTATCACCACATTCAGATTGCACCTACAAACCGTGGCATGCTGGACCGGGGCACGTCTGTAAATCCTTTCAGGTGGCAGGCAGAAGTGGGGAAGGGTGAGAGTTTCAGACCAGCCTGGAATATGCGGCAAGACCCCCGTTTCAAAACAAACAAATGACCTAGATTGTTAATTGTGAACTTTTTTCTAATTTTGAATTTGCACCCTTGTCCTGGATTAAACAAAACCAAAGCAAGCAAGCAAGCAAGCACACAGCGAGCCCCCTCCCCGCCTACAGGAACTCCACCTGCTCCTCTGTGACAGCAGACAGACTGCTTCTATCACCTCGCCGGGGGCAGGTGCGCACCCCCCTTTTCTAGAGCTATAAGCTAACACTTTACTTGCAGCTTCCACCTAAGAGGAATTCCCATGGGCCAAGCTTACCACTACCTCAGACAGGAAAAGAAGACAGTTCATGATCGATTTTGAGATCGACCAACTCAACTTTTCACACCTGTGCTTGGAGAGGAGGACCACCTGTTGGCTTAGAGCTAGTCCCACGCTAGTTGCTTTGATGATGATCATGTGATTTGAATTTGTGTTGAAGTTCCACAGATCGGATAAGCTGGTTAACTTCAACATGTTCTACTTTCTTTGTTTAGAAAACACAGCACTTTATCTCTACCCTCCAGGGATTAACTTCCAACACGAAGTGAAATTAATAAGCATGTACATGAATTTATCTTACACGAGGCTCCTTTTACCAGTATTATGGCTTTGGGCTGAATATTGTCCTCTGCGTTCATTCTCCTGGTCTCAATATTTCTCCCATGTAGCGATTCCCCTGTTCTGTTCTCTTGGGGTTCTCATGGAGCCAGGCTATTTCCCAGACTTGTCCTCCCAAGAAACTGAAGCGAGAATCAGGAGAAAGAGAGGCATACCAGGAGGGACCTTGCCGTGGAAGTAAGTCTTGGTTATATTTTCCAAAGCACTCTTATAGGTCTTTTCATTCGTCTCCATCATGATCTTCTGGATGGCTACCAGGAATTGCAATGGAGTTTCAGCCTTCCGAACCCTGAGGAACTCCCGGAAGTAATCCAGGTGTGGAGAATTTAGGAGGACTTCTGTTATGTTCCTGGAAAACAGAGCAGTGCTTGTGACCGTGGAGAATTCCGAATAGCAAATAGAGCAGGGCACCGGCCCTAGCGCCAACTCCAAGCCTGTGAGATCTGCCTGCCTCTGCCTTCCCAGGGCTGGGATTAAATGGGTGTACCACCAACGCCAGGCTGCTCCTTGAATGGAGTTAGCGCTAATGTTTTACCCACAATGCTCTTTCCTTTTCTCTTGCAGTCTTTTCTGAGTAGGCTGTACTCCCCGGGTTTCATCTTCACGCGCATGGTGCCACTGTATCTCTATTCGCTCCTCTCTCCAACTTTAACTGGCCACTTAATCTCATTTTACGTCACAGTTATCTTTTGAAACTCTCTGCACGTTCCCATCTTTTGACCAGTTTACCATCTCCTTTATGTACGTATGCCATTTTGTTGGATATTACCAATAGGTTTTTGATAGATATCCTTTATCAGGATGAGATAGTTTTTTTTTCTATTCTCATTTTGAAAGTTTTTTTTTTTAAATCACAAATAGATGGTGTAAAGAAGACTTTGTATCAATTGAGATAATCATGTAAGTTTTCTACCTCATTTATTTAATGTGGTTTATGTGATGGTTAATCTTGGTCATCAAATTGCTTGGGTCTGGAGTTGACTAAAAGGTAAGTCACTGGGCTCTGCTGTGAGAGGTTTACTTGATCAGATTATCAGAAGTGGAAAGGCGCATCCTAAATATAGGTGGTGCTTTCCAGCGTCAGCCCAGATAAAAGGGAAATGAGAGAGAAATTTTGTTCTTGCCTACTCGCCTTCACTCTCCCTGTTAAGTTCATCTATGGTCACTGATGCAGTTCCTCACTGACATCAGAATCAGCTTCTGCAGGTTAACAAATGAGGACCCGTGACTCTCCAGGACGTCTCCATGTCTTCAACACCAGACTGGGACTCCGGAGGCCTGTGAACTGAGCAGCTACTTCGTTCTCAACCTCTCCAGTGTGAGATGACCATTGCTGGACTACTCCAGCTATTCTGTATAAGACAATCTAAAAAGAAGTCTCTTTTTAATACGCACTCATTCTATTGGCTCTGCTACTCTCGGGAAGCCCAACTAATACAGAATATTGTTTTGATTTTTGGATGTTAACTCAATCTTGTGTTACCCAGATAAATTCCAATTGGTTATGCTAAATAATACTTTTATTTGTTACTGGATTTAGTTTGCTATTTGTTGAGCACTTGTATGTCTAGATTCAAAAGAGAATAATAGTCTGTGTGTTTTTATGCTGCCTCTCTTTTGAGACTCAGGATGATATTGGCCTAATATGATAAGTGAAAGTTACTTCTGTTTTCTCAAAGAGCAACTGTGATGTTGGCACGGTCTTTGCTTTAAGTATCTCACAGAGTTCTCCAGTGATACTGCCTATTCTCTGCTATATGAAAAAAATTAAATTACCAAACACCTATCACGTTTTTATTTTTGTTTCAAGACTGGGTCTAACTGTGTAGCCCTGGCTAGCCTGCAAATTGCTTTGTAGAACTTGAACTCCCAGAGATCTGCCTGCCTCTGCCTCCCAAATGCTGGGATTAAAGATATACACTGTAGTGGGCAGCCATTCCAGCTTTGATCTGGAAGTTCCAAGCCCCATTGAGGCTTCAGTAACTGTCATGCCTACAAGGTGGGGCCAAGAGAGGACCCTGAAGACCCGAGATCAGGATGAGCCAGCTCTCTTGGTTCCTGGACCCTGGACGCTGGAGGTAGACAGAGCAGAGTTCTCCAGAGAACACCACTGGACTGCACTACACCTTTCCCTGGACCCTGTAACCTATCCCTTCACTTGTAAGTTACCCCACAAAATAAACCTCCCTTTTAACTACATGGAGTTGCCTTAATACTACCACCAATAATATACCATTACACCTGGTAAAAATACTACTTTTTTGATGATGCTTAAAGGAGACCAAGTTTTTAATCACTACTACATTTTTCTTTTGGATCTTTCAGTTTTTTGTTATTTCTATAGATTTATCAATACTTTCAACTTGTCTTTGAGTCTGCTTTTAGAAATTTGGGCATTTTTAGAGGTTTATTACATTAAGTTGTTGAATTTGATCCATTTCCTAGCAATCTCAACTTCTGTACAATCCTTTTTTTTCAGTCCTGATTTTTTTTAAATTATAAATAAATTGTATTTATTTTTGTGTGTTTGTATGTGTGTCCATGTCTGTCTTTTGGCCTGTGTCGTGTGTTTTATGGTACACATGAAAGTGAAAGGATGACTATTGGCTCCTTCTGCTGTGCGGGAACTGGTCCTCCAGACTAGATCATGTCTATTGATCCATCTTCTAGCTCCCTGGTTCTTCCTCCAGACTAACTCTGTCGATTCTGTCTAGCAAGCTTTTCATCCAGTTGTGCTTTTTCTAGCCCAGACCTAAGTTTGGTTGGGTTATAACTGATCTCATTATTGGTTATCTCTAGTTGACTAATGGTTGCTTTCATACATTCCTTCAATTCCTTAAACACAATTTCCTTTGCTTTGTTGAATAGTTTCTTAGATGTTTTTGTCAAGTCCAAATAGGAACCACCTCAGAACCAGTTTTTATCTGATGCCTGCCCCATGTGCGTTCTGTGCTTACCTGTTTTTTTTTTTTTGGTGTGTGTGTGTGTGTGTGTGTGTGTGTGTGTGTGTGTGTGTGTGTGTGTGACTATTGTAGCATCTCTGGAGGTGAAGCCCACTCTCTCTCTCACTCTTCACTCTCCCCAAGTTGTTGCTGTTGATGGTTTTATTTGCTTTTTCTAGTTTATTTTTCTTTAACTGACTCACCAGGTTGAATTCTAGAGAGCACTGCTCCCCACAGGTGTGTTTCCACAAGGTACCTGATCTGCATTTTCTTAAATTGTCTTTCATTCTTCTTATTTATTTTAAATGTTATAATAAAAAGGATGCAAATAATAAAAAAAATCATGCACTGAAACTAACCAGACCCTTTAAAGATTGTATATCCCAGTGACCTTCTGTACAGTCCAAATAGTAACTCAAAACAGAAGCCGTGGAGCTTCACACTACATTTTATACTTTTACTACTGAATATGTTTTTGTGCATTTACCCATCACAAAAATATTTTTAAGGATATATTCAGTGTTGCTTTATATGTATGAGTGCTTTGTCTGCTTGTCTGTGTTAACACCTGTATGTCTTGTACCAGCAAAGGCTGGAATAAGGTGTTGGAGCCCTGAAACTAGTGTTTGTGAGCATCATACAGGTGCCAGGTACTGAACTCAGGACCTCTGCAAAAGCAACAAATTCTCTTAACCACTGAGCCATCTCTCCAGGCACCGTTCTTTTCATTTTTAATTAAAAATGTCAGGCCTTACAGGAAGTCAAGAAAAGTAGCTAACTGGGTCCATCTTTGTTCTATCTGGGATTCCAAACCTATACACGATCCCATTTCTATGCAGTTAAGTTCCTACATGCAGTTTAGGAACTGTTCCTATAGTCTAACTTTTTAAAATCTGTACTCAAATTTTTTTCTCTTTCTATTATGCTCTCATAGGAATCAGACAAAACTTTATCACAACACTTAAACATCAGATTTGCATTTTCCTTAGTTTATGTCTTAGATTAAGAGCAAGAACTGCCGGGCGGTGGTGGCACACGCCTTTAATCCCAGCACTTGGGAGGCAAGAGGCAGGCGGATCTCTGTGAGTTCGAGGCCAGTTTGGTCTACATAGTGAGTTCCAGGAGAGTCAGGGCGACATAAGACCCTGTCTTGAAAAAAGAACAAAGCAAACAACAAATAGAAAGGGATAAGAATTGTCTTATTAGTATGATATGTATTATATTAGCATTATCATCTATATCATTAGAATGGCCAAGACAAGCATATGATCAATAATAGCTCACACTGAATGGGGGTTAGAGACAAGCTTAGAAGACTTGTGACTGGAGTCCCTGACCCTGGCTGTGATCTTAGGTCACGGGCTGTATGACTTACAGGATTTAGAAAAGACTTGTATTATTTGTGGTCAACTAAGTTGGAAATGTTTCTGTGGTCTGAATAGAGAACAGTGATGAGCACAGATTAGAACAGCAGGAAACTATTCCATTATCTAAGTGTGTGCGGGGGTGGTGGGGTGGTGGTGGGGTTATTCAGAGTGTTTGGAACGGACAGAAGATTCACAACCACCGGTGAATGCTACAGTAACAGTAGCATTCTGGTGGGCATTTTTTTTCTATACAAAATTGTTTCCCAGAAATTTGACTGTCTTTTTGTATACTATTATGTTTTCATAATCTAGAGATGAACTTTTCATGTAGCTAGCAATTAGGCAAAAATGGAGTAAAATGAATAAGTTGGCCTCAGAGAAAAGTATAGTCAAGAAAGAAGGAAGCATGCCTAAAGTATAAAGTACTAAAAGGTAGCACATAGGTGGTGGTCTCTGGGGATGCAGTTTCAGATCAGGGAATTATAGCAGATGTAACATTTGGGGAACTTTTCATGTCTAAGTGGCATCTGTGCTAAGGGAAGTGGAAAGAAAGACAGGTGTTACCTCCGCAGGAAATGCCACAGAATCTTCTCCCAGTGGAGATGGACTCTTAAAGAGACTGATTAGAAAATGGAGAGACATGAAGTGAGAGACCAGTTGTGAGGATGGGGCACATGTGCTATTTACAGCAGTGAAAAATGAGAGACAATGTAAATGCTTAGAGGAAGGATAGCACTCAACAAAATATGCTTCATGTACAGTGTGGATGACAGTAGATCTCTGCAGGCTCATGTAGAAGAGCGTCCATGACAGTGAGAGTTAATGTGGAGACGCATAATTATCAGAATGTTCAGAATAAGTCACTGGCGAGTGCTCAGCCCGACATGGAACGTTGATTTCAACCCTCTCCTAGGCTCAGGGGACATTTCAGAAGAGAAGGCAGAGAGAGCGTAGGGGGCAGAGGACGAGGAGTGCTGCGAAGTGCTGTCTGTCATTTGACCATGACAGGGCTGCGGCACCTGTGCACTCGCAAGATCAGTAGTGACCTGCACGAGACCCGTAGGAGACCAGGCCCATCAGCATGCCATCACGGGTGGGGGAGGGGCTTGCAAGGCTCCACCCCTCCCTGGGGGGCTATAGGCAGTTAACAGTTGTTGAAAGAAGAGAAGTCATAGTCCCTAGGGGTTTAGCCACTGGTACTTTGCCCTTGATCAGGTAAATAACTCTTACCTATTCTCATGCAAGTAACTCTCTAAGTGTATTGGATATCTCACACACACACACACACACACACACACACACACACACACACACACACATACAGAGTAAAAAAAATAAAAGTAGAGAAGAGCAGGTTAAGCAGAACAAGTTTGATGAGAAGGGAATAATAGAAGTTTTATATATATATATGTATATATACATTTAGTATAATTATATATATATAAACAATTTTTTAAAAAAGTTGTCTCTGATAGTTTTAAGAAGTTATTTTGTAATATATGTTACACAGTACTTTAAAATAAACAAATTAACATGCAGAGTATCTTGTTCATATGCATATGATCTACAGAGAAAGGTCTGGGAACCTCCACAGAGAAATGAACCTAGAGATGTTGCTGTAGCCAGATCCCCTATCTTACCTTGGTCTCATGGAAGGCTTCCTTATGACAGCTTTTCTAACAAAGGATGTTTTCCTTTGTGAAGGTGTGTGTCTTGGCTGCTTGACAATTTCTACTGTGTAACCTGAGAAAGACCACAAAGTTAGGTAACAATATTTTATAAAGAGAGAATAAGAATGGACATTTTTTCAGGCATCAGCCACAACTACTGTGTCAGGCCATTGGACAACTGGACACTGTCATCAGGTCAAGGTGTGTTAGATGTACATATTTGCCATCAGACCTAGAGCCCACCTTCCTGAGAGACATTGGCCATCAGGCCTAGAGCACACCTTCCTGAGAGATTGGTAGACCAAGTTCACTATACATCTAGGTACATTACTAAAGATGAGATGCCACCTGCCTTCCAATCTGATTCTTCATTCGGCCACAATGCATGGTGGTGGTCTACCTTCATTGACACCTTGGCTGTCCTCTCAGAAGCACTCTACATGTCATTTGAAAGTTTTATTTTATAATCATTGAACTTATTGACTGTTGACCTCAACTTTAAGAGGCTCCACTCAACTTCTTGCTTTAACTAAAATTGTTTTCTTTCCAAGGATGTGACATTGCAATGTATTCTGGTAACCCATACACAATTCAGAACAGGTGTCTTGCCCTGTGGTGCACTTTAGAATGATTATTCTAAGAAATGTATTTAACCGTTTTTTTTTTAAAATAATAGATTCCATAGATCCCACCATTATCAAAACCCTTTGGGGTTTGGGATGTCATTTAATTGATAGAGTGCTTGCCTAGCATTCATGAAGCCCTGGGTTCAATCCCTAGCAAGATGTGACGTTCTTGCCCATAATTCTTAGCATTTGCAAAATGGAGGCAGGAGATCTGAAATTCAAGGTCATTGTTGGTTACAAATCGAGTCTGAGGCTAACCTTGACTACCTAAGACTCTTTAATTTTATCGAAGAAAAACACTAGCCATAAAATCATCAAGGGCAGAAATAGAGTCATCTCACTGCTCAAAATGAGAGCATGTCCCAGTTGTACAGTCAATGGCTTAAGATGCATATTAAATAGAATGTGCACATGCAGGGTATTTTTACATGATTTGATAATATTTCTGTGATAGGCAGCATACAAAAATGATTGAAAGCCATAGATATATACATAGGTTCTTAATAAATGCAACTGAGTTGATTGAAAAGTGAAATTCAGACTATAGAAGACTTGATATAACAGAAAAAGAAACCCCACCAAGCTCTAAAAGAAAAATCCTTCCTAGGAACAAACACTGAAAATGTTGGGTTAAAAAAAATAACATTTCAAAATCATAAATCAACCAATAAAGAATTCAGTTAAAACTTGAAGATTAGGGAAAAAAAGATGGTGAAAATGTGAAGAGTATGTTGAAATACTAATGTCCAGGGTTTAAGCCACAGTGAGCATAAATAAAGCTCAGGACTTGAAAAAATGGAAAGACTTCCCACCCTACATTTTTCTTAAGGTAGCTGGCAATTTTGCAAATGCAGGAAGCTTAAGAAACTGGACATTCCTTTAAAAAAAATGAAACAAAGAGGAAGACTCTTCTCTCTTGACTGTGGGTGTGACTTGTTCCTTGAGTTCCTGCTTTGGCTCTGCCTGGGTCGAAAGCCCAAGCACCCTTTTCTCCTTTAAAGCTGCTCCCGTCAGGTATTCTAAATGACAGCTGGAGAGAAAACTAAAACACCCACAGAAAGGTGGTATCCAGTCAGCACTGTGGCCAGGATACCCAGAATGTCATTATGGCCTCTCACTAGAGAAGGCGCCTATCAGAATCAGGGTTTAGATGGAGTCCTGGACCAGGTCCAGTTCACACTGGGTCTCCTGGGGCCCCAGGTGTGCATAGAAGTCATTTCTCCAGCCCCTAAAATGTGTACTTGGAATGGGGTTTTTTGGCAATCAGCAGGCTAAGCCATATCATTTCTTTAGTCTGAGGAGCGCTACAAGAGTGAAAATGACCAGTTGAAATTACCTAGAGCACTCCTTACACTTCCAGTTAGGATGACAAAATTGGAACAAATGTTGTATCTTAAAATAATGATAGATGCCAGCGAAACGCTTAAAGAAGCTTAAAACTTAAGCTACAGCTTTGTATTCTTTCCTTTAAAAAACTGGTTAGTTTTACTTATGTGTATGAAGTGTATTGCCTGAAGGGGTGTATGGGCACCATGTGTGTGCAGTGCCCATGGAAGTCAGATGAGGAAATCGGATCCACTTGAACTGGAGTTACAGATAGATGTGAGAGGCCATGTAGGTGCTGGGAATAGACTCCAGGTCCTCTGCAAGAGTAGCAGGTGCTCTTCACCCCTCAGCCATCTCTCCATCCCTGGCTTCATAGTCTTCATATAATCATTAGTAGTAAAATTCTCCAAAAGGAGGGATAATGACCCAGTGGGATACCAGATCCCCAGCAGGGTAAGAAGAACTCCCCTATAGGAAGCTTCTTTGCACTGGCTCAGAAGCCCACATAGATTGTGCTTCTTTGTACACCGGGGATTGTATTACACCAGGAGACTTTTTTTTTTTCTCAAATTGTATTGGGCTTAAATACATTGGGAATAACCAATGTATTAGACTCTCTGAAGTCTGATTCAGGTTGACAAAGTCAATCTGCACCAGGTTTTCATTTTTATCTCTGTGTGGTTCACTTCCCTGTATGAGACCTGCAGGGACCCCCTCAAATGATCTTAATTGTCACCAACCTCAATGATTCATAATTGTCTTTGATTTGCATCACACCCTCTAGGACTCCGTAGGAGTGGGGACACATGGTGACTATCTCTGGAGTATTATCTCCTTGCAAACAAGGTATGGTTCCTCTTTTGGCTTAGGCCTCCAGAGTTGGGAAATTCTTAGTTTGACAAAAACACTTGCCTTACATCTAAGCTTAAACACTTGCCTTACATCTAGGCTTAAACACTTGCCTCACATCTAAACTTAAACACTTGCCTTACATCTAAGCTTAAACACTTGCCTTACATCTAAACTTAAACACTTGCCTTACATCTAAACTTAAACACTTGCCTTTTGCAGGTGCCTTTTCACAGTATATTTTAAAGTCTTCACTGATCTTCTCTATGGCCAACTTTGGATTCTTATAGGAGAGCTCCTCAAAGGTCATCTTGTTCACATCTGTGAAGGAAAAAATAAAGACAGAGTTTGCTGTCCATTTTAGGGCCAAATATCCACGTATTTTTCTTGAAGACATTGCCTTTAAAATATTATTCGAATTAGACAATCGTGTTTAAATGGGCTACTTACATCAAGAATACAAATTATCTAAGTTAAATGAGTTAAAGAAACATAGACCCTTCTCCATTCTAGAGTGGGTGGGTTCCACCTTCTTTGCTAGTACAGAGATGACACTGAAGGAACTATTGTTAATTCAATATAAGAAGTAACTCATTCATCTGAATGGTTTTAGATCCCTTCAAAATAATCACCACTTGAAAGGAGGAGATGCAAATGAATTTCAAATATTCTGCTATTGCATTAACTTTTTTGCATACGTGTCAGATAATTGGTTAGGATTTTTCTTGTTTGGGGCTTTGACTTTTTGTGAATTAGTTTCAGAACTAGCAGCTCATAGGCCAGGATCATGTAGGGTTTTTGAGAATGACAGGACCTTTCGTAGTCAAGTTGTGCATGACCCAAGGATGCTAGATACTGAACAGTCATGGAAGATCAACCTGTGATTAATGGCTCATTGTCTCATGCCAATGGAAGTTAAAGACACAGAGTCTCATGGGAAGTGAGCAAGTAGAATAAGGCTTTATAAAGAATTATTACAAGAAAGTAAACCATTGAATAAAAGTGAGTGGAACTTCTGAGAGTGAGAGTGGTTTTCAAGAGTGGGGAAATGGCTAGATTTTCCTTGTTTAAGGCTTGTGTAGGACAACAATAGGAACTGAACAGAGGCTGAGGCAATCTCTATTGAAATTGCTTAGTTCTCTGGGCTACTATGGGCTGAGACAGTGGAGGGCCCACATGCCCTATGCGTGTGTGTGCCCCTACCCCAACCAGGGAGCTAGTTATGCTTTGGTTATATGCTTCCTATTCAGTTAGGGATAGTTGAAGCCTTCTTTACCCATCTCCAATGCTGGCTTTCTTAGTTATTAACCTTGGCTATTGGTTAGCTGTTGGTTACTTGGCGGAGTCCCACCACTTTCAAATGCCCTACATTATCCTGGTTTATGAGCAGCTAGTTCTGAAATGATTTCACAAAAATCAAAGCTCAAAACAAATTATTTGCTATGGACATCAAAAGATTGAAGCAAGAGCAGTTACAACCTCTGACCTTGCAGGCATCTTGCTGTTGACCATGCTAAGCTCTCTGGATTTGTTAGTTATTGACCCTACTGGGCACTAGTTAATAGCTGGTACTTGCAAGTGTCCCAAACGCTGTTAACAGTCTAAGCTCTATTTGTTCTCACAGCTACCAAGAAGTAGCTGCAATGTTCATGGTAAACTCTTTGTGTATATAATGGTCTGGGGTCTCTTCCCAAGATGGAAACAGGTTCCTTAGGATCCATCCTTACAGCTTAGTCTATTATAATTAGTTCCATTAGAAGCACCAAAGTGTCAAAAGCAAGGATATGCAATAAGCAATAGCACCTAGCATGGGTCTCCCAGTGAGAAAAGGGCTCCTGGAAGCTAGCCAGTCAGTCTGCCATCACTAGCCTTGCTTCTTCAAGCCTGGTTGCCTCTTATGAGGTCCACTGGCCATCTCATATCTGACCGGAAGCATCTTTGTCTCTCATCCTTAGTGCTATGGCTTCACTGTTTTAAGCCTCACCCCCCCCCTTTACCATAACATCCATATCTACTGTCGGGTCTGTGCAAAACTTGTAGTTTTTGATAGGCGTCCCTTTCCCTTACCGCCTACTATGAAATAACTCATGCCTCAGAGATACTACCGATAATTGCAAACCCTTGCTCTTGGAAGTAGGTTTCTTTTTTCTTTTTCTAGAAGCAGCCACATATTAATTCTTGTCATACAAGGTGAATTGGTACTACACACTCACAATGTCACCACATTGTGACAATAAGGGCTACAAGAGCAAGAGAAGTGACGATGTTCAGGACAACAGAAGGGGATAGCAGCCTCTTGCCTCATTGGTGTTGAGCTCTTGGGTTTGTTTGGAACTCTCTGGATCATCCAGGATAGCCATATGCATAGGAGTTTCTTCTTTCCATATGGAGGAAACCTGGGGCAAAGTTACAGACTACTCCTTGGACCCAGCTCTGGAAACAGTGTGGTGAAGTGGGAGTCCAGATGGGCGTCACAGGGTGCTCAGTGCTAGCTGTGGCCATGCTTCGGTGGGCACAAGTTTTCCCCGGCTTCCGGAGCCAGTAGAGATCACAGTAAGTTTGCCAGGGCTCAGATCCTGACGGCCATTTTCAGTGTAACCTTGAAGGGTGACATTGTTTGGGCCTTGGTCATTAGTTATTTGATGAGTTGTTTTGAAGATCAGGTGAGGTAATCTTTGCAGTGCACAGTGCTGATTCATAATAAAGGATCACTGATAAAATGAGTTTTGTATTTTCTAGTTCTCTAAGTGTAATGATAAACAAAAGAAAAAAAGTGACTGAACTTACCTTGTAAGAACACTGGAGATGTCGTCAGTTCTACCCGGATAGAGCCTCCCTGCTTCAGGTTCTCAGTGGCCACTTTTTCCCATTGCATAGACTCCATTTCCTGCATGTTAGCCAAACCCTGGCTTAACTTCAGAGACTCCTGAATCCTTTTATACAGAAGAATGTTCTCCTCTTTGCTTGTGGCTTCTCTTTTATACCACCGGGCTTTGATGAAGCGTGCTTGAGTCTGAGAGGAGTTGGGAGAAGAAGCGAGAGACAGATGTGGGAATCAGCCAGAAGCAAGAGAATTGTGACAACTCCATCCTCCATCTCTCTGCCTCCCGGTCACATAGACTTTGCCTGATGGTCTTTAGACCATATGCCACACACCCCATAATCCAACTCATTTTCTCTAAGAGAGAACTGCACGTGAATGTAACTTCCTCAGAGTTAGCTATGTATTGTCTTTCTCCTTGAGAGCTTTATGTTCTTTTTAAAAATCTGTACCTCTCTCTCTCTCTCTCTCTCTCTCTCTCTCTCTCTCTTTCTCTCTCATGTATGTGTGTGTGTGTGTGTGTGTGTCTGTCTGTCTGTCTGTATGTATGTATGTATGTATGTATGTGCATGTGTGGTTTCAAAGGCCAGAAGAAAGCATCAGAAATTTGGGAGCTGGAATTACACACAGTTATGGGCTGTCCAATGTGGGTCTTGGAAACTCGAGTCCCCTGGACGTGCAGCAAATGCTCTAAACCCCTGAGCCATCCCTCCAATCCCTCAGGTTCACATTCTTTAGAATGTCAGCCACCTCCAGATGCCTCCAGGAAAAAGTCCCAATTTCATTTACTTTGCGCCTCTAAGACAGAAGCGCTTCCCCTTCCCTCCTGAATCATCCACAACCCAAAGTCCCTCCTACTGTGAAAATGAGAAACCAGTAGTCCTCTTCGTTCAGGAATTCATCATACCAGACACTGAGCACCTGAAATCCAAGCACAAGGTGAATCTTATGAGATGGGCCCTCAGTTGGCTTCGTCTTTTCAGCTTGTGACTAGCCCACACAGTAGACAGCAGGATTTAGCTTTTTTCACAGTGGGAGCTCTAGTGAGGTGGCAAGCATCAGCTACGACATCCGGGGGGCATTCCCTCATTTTATATTTTTAATATGGCGGCTCTCATAGTCTCTCTGTAAGCGTCAGAGAATAGCAGCAAATACACACTGAAAGAGCAAAGTACCTCATAGCCCTTAGCATCTGCATCCTGCATGCTGCCTAGTGCCTTCCCAAAGCTTGATCTTTGAATCTCAAAATGGCTTTGGAAACCAAGCAACTTGGGGACCTCTCCCGATGGTGAGTGCTGTTTCATACATTCGGGCAAACAAAACCTATGAATCGGTGCTGGGCTGAATTTATTTATTCACATTCTTCCTTTACTTGGCAACTATTTTCCAAGTGCCTCCCATGTGCCAGGCATTGTGCAAATTGCTGGCCCTAGGCCTGTACCAAGGAGCTCGCCTCCCAGCAGGGCGAGCCGCAGTGGGTTACTTGTGATGTGTATGTGTGTGATAGACATACAGAGCAGAGGTCTCTGGGAAGAGGGAGAAGGCAACAGTTGTGTCATCAGGAAAACCCAAGAGGAGTTTATAAAGGCAAGAAAATGTAAACTCAAGTTTGCACCTCTCAGGATAAGTAGGAGTTAAACCAGAGGCAGCCAAGGAAAGGGCATTCCAGGCAGCAGGAGGAGCTTAGGCAAATGAGTAGAGAAAGGGTGTGTTGGAGGACAATGGATGCTCTCAGAAATACTTCTCTTCTGAAGAGCCTGGGCGATGATGGAGGCATGGAAAGAGATGGGGCAGAGAAAATGGGTTAGCGCTCTCTATGAGGGGGTTCAATGACTTGGCTCAGCGACATGGGCATTATTTTGCCAACGGTGAGGTGCCTACGGTGTTTTTGAAAAACTGTCTGATGAACTCTGTAAAGCAGTATGGGGAAATGGCTCAGTGGTTAGAGCGCTTGCCGCTGCCATCAAGGGGACCAGAGTCTGGATCTCTAGTGCCCACACAAATGCCAGGAAGGTGGCAGGTGACCTGTAATTTCAGTCTTGGAAGATGGAGACAAGGGACACCCTGAAGCAGCTGGCTATCAGGAGTAGCTCTATCAGTGAAGAGTAACTTCTTTCTGTGAGCTCTGGGTCTGGTTGGAAGTCCTTGCCTCAAAGAGTAAGTTCCGGAAATGGGGTCCACTGGGGCAGACCGTGTAAAGGAAGAAAGCATCCTGAAGTGAGCAAGGCAGTGTGGGTGCATTCGCTCTCTCTGCTCTTGAGTGTGGATGGGAAGCTTCAAGTCCCCACCTTGACCGTCCTGAAATAATGAACTGCCACCTCAAACTGTAAGCCAAATGAACATTTTCCTGCCATGTTGTCTTCTGTCAGGGTGTTTTATTACAATGGAAATGAAATTAGAATGAGAAGACTCTACTTCCAAATGCCTAAGAGTTCTTAAACTTCCTTCAGTAAGACCCTCTGAATTTTGTGGTTTGGAGAGGCTGCATTTGAAGAAGGAGGGAAAAGCAATGGGAGGCGGATACGGACCACACATTCCTCTACTCCACTTTGGAGTTTTTGATTGTTTCAAAAAGTCACAGAACTTTTTACTTTATAAAATTAACCAGAGCCCAGTGTTTAAAGGTTTATGTGGATAATTCTACCTTTAACAAAGCGAGTATAGATGATCAGACAACACTTTTTTTTTTTTTTCCGGCCTTGACCTAGTCTGCCAGATGCTAACCCATTTCTTTGAGACACAGCCTACCTTGCAGATCTCTTTCTGGGCTTTGGGGATCCAGGGATTCACATCCCCAGAAGGCAGGAGCTTCTTCAGGCCCTGAATGGTCTGCGGTTTGAGTGGTAAAGGTGGCCCAATCCGCTCGTTCAGGTAGAGCTCACAGATTCTGTTCCCCAGCATGTGGCGGAAGAGCGCTTTCCCACTCCTCCTGTTATTCATCAGGACACTGAGGAAATGCTGCAGGTCCTGCCAAAGGTCCAGCAGTTGCACCTCCACCTTCAAGTTCAGCTTCTTCAGGTGATAGCGGAAGGGACCCCCTGCGCAGGCGTCAGCACACAGGGCCCAATGAGTGTACCCAAAAGGGAGGCCTCGCTTGAGGGACTTCTTGACTGCCAGTGGGGTAGTGTGATTAATGATGGGAGTGGAAGTCCTCAGGTGGTTGGAGAACTTTGTCTCAAAGAGGCCCCCCATGTGGAGCTGGATCTTGGATCTCTTCTTCACAATGATGGGTTTCTTGGCATGCTGAGCATCCTTGTTCAGGATATGGATTATTGACTCCTTTGAGGAATCTACTCCCGGAAAAGGCTTTTTTAAAACTACCTTTTCTGGAAGACTCGTCTCTTCTTGGGCCTTAGTGGAGACTTCTGGCTTGAGGTCCATTTCCAGAGGCCACAAGACAGGGTTAATCAGCTGCCACAACTTCCTCTTGGCCTTCCTGCTGGAGTACTTCTTTTGGGAGTGGTGGGATTTCTTGATGCTCATGTTGAGAGGGAGCCCTCCCGGATGCTTGTAGCAGATGCTGCACAGGCGAGTCTCGTACTCCTGCATCAGGTCGTGACATGACCCCTCGTCGGCCATCGCTATCTTGGCGTGGGTGTAGAAGTTGGGAAGCCAGTAGCTCTGGAGTTTGAACAGAGCCACTTTCTGCATGTGGCTTAGGATCTCCCGTCTGGTGGTGGACTGGTTGGGATGCCAGATGGAGAGATTCAGGAGGGACTCTGGAAGAAGAGAGAGAGAGATCAAGGGTGAGAAGGAAGAGGTGGAGGCCATGATGGTGGGAGGGGATCTGGAGATTTTTCTGAATGTTTTTGTGTCCAGTATGTTGCTTGTTCTGGATGAAACCCTGGGGGACAGAAACAGGTAGAACGCAGTGGCATGCTTTTGATGACTTCTTAGTGCAGAGTGACTGCTTTTCTCTCATTACTTTCTTCTTCCCCGTGGAAGCAATTCCATTTTGTGGGATTTCTTGAGTACATTTTAGATTGTATTGCAAACAAAAGCAAAAGGTACAAGAAAATGTGTTTTAAAAAATGAGATTATACACATGTGAATGGGCCTCATGATTCTAAATGATAATCAAAGGACTTGGACTGGATAATTCCAAGGAGTCAAACCCTTCAAACAATATTGCTAGCTCTGGATTCAATGTTATCAGTTTTTTAAAGGGTCTCATATAGCTCAGACTGCCAAGATGACCTTAAAATGCTGACCCTCCTGTTTCCACCTCCCAAGTGCTGAGATTACAGGCATATGTGCCCACACCCAGATAATGTTATGAGTTTTCAATTATTGTTAGGAATGGGAAGAGTATGGCTAGTCTCAAACAGCATATCTTCTGGAACACAGTGATATTGGGTTCAAAATGCCTCTTCATTTTTCATTCAGACTAATAGAGATGAATGGGCAGTCAAGAGAAAGAGTTTAGACAATGTCTCAGATAGTAGGCCAGACAGTAAGTATTTGAAGCTTGGTAAACCACTAATAATTTCTGTTGAACGCTAAAACTTAAACAGTCTTTGCTTGCAAAGGTACTGCCTTGGGTCCATGGGCTGTTATTTGTTCTAGAGAATCTCATTAACTCAAAACTCTAACAGAGCCATGCAGACTCGGAAGACAGAGTAATTTCCCAGTTCTCCTGTCCCAATTCTTATTCTCTTCCTCCAGTCAATCTGCACTGGCCAGCTGCATCTCAGGAAGATCTGAGCACCCTAAGCATAGCTGGTGTCTTCCAACCCTTTCTGTTACGGGTTGTGAGTTCCACTAGCGCCCCTGACACCGAGCTGATGGAGAAGGTAGCCATGGGGGAAGCAAAAGATGGGGGATAGCAGATACCAGCCTGAGCTGTTGGTTACATCCCACAAGAATTCGTCTCGCACATGCGCTATAATTCTTACTGATGTTCATGTTGCAGAGAGTCACCACCGAGGAGCCTTCCTGCAGATGAGTGGCCTTGAGCAGGAACAGGAGGGACAGATAGTAGTCTCTCACATTCACGTCTGTCTCGTCGATGCTCAGGATCTTCTCAGCAAGGATCCAGAAATCCAGCAACTCTTCACCTATGGGCCAGACAGGATAGACGCAGAGCTGCGCTCTAATCCCGCCCCTTGGGTGAATGTATCTGGGTGCAGCTGCTCATGCCCTCCCAAGACTTTGCTCTGCTGCGCCAAACACCATCACCAGCCAACTTCCAGGTAAGACAGTGTCTCCAGAAAGTCTCTAGGGTGTGAGGATGGGAAGCATGGGGAAAATGGACTTCATGGGAAAGAGTCCTTCATGTCTTTCTTTGGTTTTGCTTTTAAAAAACAAAATCACTTTAGGGGAAACTGTGACATTATAAATCATGGAATATTGTGTGTTGTCAGAAAAAGAAGAAAAAAAAAAAGACCTCGGGGAAAGGATATTCCTAGATCATGGACTCTGACCAGCCTACAGATGGGCTACAGCCAAGGGTGCCAAAGACCACATCTGTTTCCATAGCGGAAGCTTTAAGAAGCAGGAACTTACCAGGCAGTGGTGGTGCCCTTTAGTCTCAGCACTCGGGAGGTGGAAGAAGGTGGATCTGAGTTCGAGGCTAACCTGGTCTACAGATTGAGTTCCAGGACAGCCAGGGCTACACTGAGAAACCCTGTTTCAAAAAACCAGAAAAAGGAGGAGGTAGGAGGAGGACGAGGAGGAAGAAGTATTTCAAATATATACAAAGATACCCCTGGGCATCTTTGTATTCCATCCAACTGGCGTAGTGACTGCCACACAGACATGGTTAGCAAATACTGTTACATGGATGAATGAAAGGGACTCGGATGGCTCTTACTGCACCTTATCTTTGGATCCCAGCTTCTGAAGGCTTTCATCCAAACTGCACTATTAAATACATCCAGATTTTCCACAGACACACACAGCCACCGTCTGGGGTCTGGACAGCCCGGGGCACGGTTAAGAGCTTTTTGAGAAACCTACCTGCACTGCCCCTGAGGTAGGAGTAGAAACGCCATATCCCTCTGACTCCAGCGACGCATTTTTCCAGAAGCCACTGGTCTGCCTTTTTCCATCTCATCATCTTGGCTGCCAGGGGAAGTCAATGAGAGAGGGGCTGTGAACTCTTCCCCTGCCCCTCCGCTCAGCCCTGCACACAACCAGAGCCCCACTCCTTCAGTGTGAGTCAGCTGGATGAACGGGGGCCCTGACCGTGAGGCCTTTGAAACCAGTCACTGGACCAGCTGGTGACAGGCGTCAGGGGCATATGCAGGGTCTTCATGTATGTATACAATCCACCGCGCTCAAACACCCTCTCCCCCGTGACAGTCCTCATCTGACAGTGGTATTGTCCTTAGCATCCATTTGAATCTCTCCTCTCTCCTTCACTGTTCCCTCGTGTGTGTGTGTGTGTGTGTGTGTGTGTGTGTGTGTGTGTGTGTGTGTGTGTGTGTGTGTAAAATGTAACTGAAGTGGTAGTTGAGAATAGCAGGAGGCTTGGTACATTATTTGGCTCCTCAGATGACCCTGAATGGAGCCTCCTTTGCCTAGTGAGTCAAAAGTTGCCAATTCAACCCTATAAGGAAATTTTGTTCATTCATTCAACAAATACTGATTACATGGCTACCAAATACCAAGCCCTGTTCCAGATACTCAGGATATCAAGCAAAAGTTCCTGCCCCTGAGGAGGAGTTTATATACCTGTGAAAGGGATGTGCCAGAGATATGTATGATGAGTACATTTTTTCAATAGTATTGAAAGTGGTAAGAACTGCTAAAAAAACATGGTAGAGCAAAGTAAAGCATGTTGGGAGTTCTGGGTGAGCAGATGGACAGGATTCTGTGGGGTTGTTAGAACAGCTTTCAATGAAAGTGAGATTGTCATGAGCATTTGAGAAGGTGACAGAGAGAGCCCAGTGGCTATCTGGGGGGACAGCTAGTACAGAGCAGAGCAGTGGGAAGGTGTCCAGCATGCTTGATGAACTGGGAGCGGAGTGACTGGAGGCAGCGGAAGTGATGAGACCCAAGAAGAAAGGGAGACTGGCCTGTAAGCCCCTAAGGGTACAGGGGTGCTGGCCTTGCACAGAGACAGGAACCATTGGTGTGTGGGGGTAGGTGTTGGGGGTGGGCACACAGGCATCGCCTGATCTGAATTACATTTCTCCATTTTTATTGTATTAAAATACATTTAACAAAATTATTATGAACTATTTTAAGTGTACAATTCAGTCACATTAAATACATTTGTAGTATGCAGCTAAAATTACCATGCATCTCCAAAATGCTTTTTTTCCCCCTTGTAAAACTGAAATTACAGCCATGAAATAACAACCCTTCATTTCTCAGTCCCACCAGCTCCCGGCAGTTACCAATGCACTTCTCTTTCTGTGATTTTTGACTCTTAACAATTCATATGAATGGAACATATAGTATTTTTCCTTTTCTAATTGTTTATTTCACACAGTATGGTCTCTTCGACTTTCACCATGTTGTAGCTAGCATATGTCAACATCTCCTTTTTAAGGCAGCATGCCATTCCACTGGTGCATGTATGATATTTTGCTTAGCTACTGATTTGTTGATGGACACGAGTGTGTCTTAGCTGTGTGAACAACGCTATTGGGAAACATGGGTGCACAAATAACTCTTTGGGACTCTGTATTCAACTCCTCTTAATATCCACCTAGAAGTAAAATTACTGGATGGTATGGTAATTTTGTGTGTGTGTGTGTGTGTGTGTGTGTGTGTGTGTGTGTGTGTGTGTGTGTGTTTGGGAATTATGCTGTTTCCTGTGGTGACTCTGTCATTTACCATTCTGACCGACGATGTGTAAGAGTTCCAGTGTCCTCACATTCTGCCCAACAGTTATCATTATATAGGTTTTCATGGGAGAGTGGTTGTCCAGTAGAGATGGTAATGGATGTGAGGTCACAGCTCAGTTCAATTTTGGCTTGTATTTCCTTTGGGAAACGTACTTCTTAGCTATCTGCTTATATCTTCTGTGGAAGAAATGGTTGCATGTTTTTGGGTCCCCCCATTTTCATTTTACATTTCTTGTTGTTGTTGTTGTTGAGGTGTTTGTTTGTTTGTTTGTTTGTTTTGTTTTGTTTTTGAGACAGGGTTTCTCTGTAGCTTTGGAGCCTGTCCTGGACTAGCTCTGTAGACTAGGCTGGCCTCGAATTCATAGAGATCCACCTGCCTCTGCTGGGATTAAAGGTGTGCGCCACTGCCCAGCTGTTGTTGAGTTTTAAGAGTTATTTATATATATTATGGATTTCCTCTATTAAATAATATAGCTTTCAAGTATTTTCTTACATTCTATGTGGTTCCTCCCCCCCCCCCCACTGTTGATAGTTTCTTCTGAGGTTTAAATGATAAGATGTTTTCTTTTTTATTAAGTCCAGTTTCTGTTGTTATCTCTACCACTGATGCCACAGTCAAGAAATCACTGCCGAATCCAATTATGTGAAACCCTGGGCCTGGACTTTCTATTGGTTTTGCAGTTTTAGATCTAATACTTAGGTCTTTGATTTATGTTAGTTACTATCTACCATGTTTTATAGAAGTCAGACTTCCTTCTCATGCATCTAGACTTCCATTTGTTCCAGAATCTTGTTTTCTTTTGCGCTCTTCTCTCTTTCTCTCTGTCTCTGTCCCCACCCCCCGCCCCGTGTGTGTGTGTGTGTGTGTGTGTGTGTGTGTGTGTGTATTTGTGCACATCCATGTGGAGGCCAGAGGACAACCTTCAGTGCCATCCGGGACCATCACCTTTTGCTTTTGAGACTGATCTTTCACTGAACTGGAACTTGCCTAGTAGGATGACAGGCTGGCCGAGTAGTGTGTTCCGCAGAGACCCACCTGTCTCCACCTCCCTAGCAGTAGGATGACACGTGTGTGACATTGTGCCAGCTGTCTCTGTGGTTGTAAGGCCAGCATCTTACTGACTAGGCCATTTCCCCAGCAGCAGCACTGCCTATTCAAAGACTTCTTTCACAGAATAATTTTGGCATTCTTCTCAAAAGTCATTTGATTGTATACTGGGGGTTTATTTCTGGGCTTTATATTGTTTTTCAATGGTCTAAAGTTCTGTCATTATGCCCACACTAAACTATTTTGATTACTGTAGACCTGTGTTAAGTTTTAAAATTAGGATGTATAAGACTTTCATTTTTTTTCTCTCCAATTTCAAAATTATTATAGTTATTCAGGATCCGTTGAGATGCTATATGAATTTTAGAACTGAGTTTCCTATTTCTGTAAAATATGCTATTGGGATTTTATAGGGATTTCAGGAATCTGTGTTTTTAAGGAATACTGATATCTTAGCAATATTTGTTTTTCAAACTATGAACATGGGAAATATTCCTATAAATTTATTCCTTAGTTTGTTTTTGCAATGTTTTGTAATTTTCATTGTGCAAGAATTTCATCTCTTGGCTGAGTTCATTCTTAAATATTTAATATTTTATTATTTTTTTAACATTCTTATCAATTGGATTGTTTTTGTGATTTCTTTTTCAATTGCTTATGGAGAGTATATATAAAAGCAACTATTTATATGGCTTTATATCCTACTACTTTAAAGAATTTATTTATTAGTTCTAACAGGAAATATTGTATAAAAGTTAGGGGTTTTGTTTTACATAAAACATTATGTAATGTGAACGGTGATAATTTTAGTTTTTGCTTTCTATTATCTTCTATTTTTCTAAAAACAAAATCTTTTGTTTTTCTTTATTTTCTTGATTACTCTGGTAAAGACTTCCACTACTGTGATGAATCGGAATGGTGGACGTGGGAATCTTACTTCATTCTGTTATTGTGGTATGCTAAAGTGATTAAATTTTCCATGTTGAACCGTCCTTGCCCTCTGTGAATACGTTCTGTTTGTTCAGGATGTATGACCTTCTCCTGTGCTGCTGAATTCAGATGCGATTTTATTGTGAATTTTTGCATCAATATTGATAAAGGTCATTGAGCTGTTTTTTTCTTACAGCTCTTTGTCTGGCTTTAGTATTAGGGTAATGCCATCCTCATAGAATGAATTTTGAAGTAACCCTGTTGTTAAATATTTGGAGTTATTTAGAAAGAACTGAGGCTAGTTCCTTAGGTGTTTCATAGCTTCTGAGAGAATATGAGATTGGGTGCATTCAAGGTGGTGTAGTCATAGATGAGTTGTCTGTTTTTTATTTAGTTCTATAAATGTTTGCTTTTGATATTTGCTTGGTATCCAAGAGAAAAGTAGAAGTTCATAGTTATTATATCTTCTTGATATTTTGGACTTTGCTTGCATTGGCATATAATGCCTTTATGTGTTTCTTCTTTTCTGATTTAAAGTCTGTTTTGTCTGATTTTCTTATAGCCACTCCAGCTCTCTTTTAGTTATTATTTGTATGTAATATTTTTCCATTCATTCACCTTTCTTTCTCTAAAAACCTTGTAAGCTTGATATAATTCATGAATATATGCTAAGTCATACAAGTATAAAACAGTTAACAAACTCTTGAGGAAATATGAAATTATAATCCAATAGTAGAAAATACTAAAACTAACTAAAATATCATTTGATCTGAAGAGACAAAGCATACATATAAAAGATAAGTGCCTATCACATGAGCCAATCAAATATCCTTTATTCACAATTACTTAAAAGCTACATTAAGTCTGTAAGTATGCTAGATATTTTATTTCACTTATGGAACTGTTGTACTTCAACATTTATTTTCAAGAATGAAATTAGACTGCATATTCCAGATGTTTACCTTATGAATGAGTGACTGACAAACATATTTAAAGTTTTTTGTAAAATTTATTGCAAGTTATGTAATTTCTAGAGCATTCTACACAAATTATTTTGAGTAAGTTTTTTGTATTACTTATGTTTATACGTTTCCACTACAGAAGGTTTTTCTTCAAGTCTAATAAATTGTTTGATGTAATAGACATATTTCTTTTTCACATTTACAAAGTCCTGACAGTGTATCATGTATATTGGCAAACTAAAGACTTGTACATCTCCATTTCTCACCATACTCTACTCTTTCATATTCGCATTTAAACTGAGTTGGCTAGAGGTCTTCCTAAATGTTTTATGTTGATGTGAATTTCTTCATTATGCATATTCATGTTTGCTATAAATATGTTGTGGTAATGGGACATACCTACATAGTATATTTAGAGATTTTCTCAGTTGTGACTTTTCTCATATTTTCAAAGGGAAGCAGAATAAGAAAAGGCTTTCCCATACTGATTAGATACATAACATTTTTCCCCCCTGTGGATCTTCTTATGGTATTAAGAGGGACTGCAATTTGTAAAAGGCTTTACTACAATGCTTACACACATGGGGTGTTTGAGTCCAATGTGAATCCTGTGGTATTGTCTTAGTCACTGTCCTACTGTGGTGAAGAGACACCATGACCAAGACAACTTTTATAAAAGAAAGCATTTAATTGGGGGCTCGCTTACAGTTTCAGAAGCTTAGTCCATTATCATCGTGGAGGGGAGCATTGGTGGCACACAGGCAGGCACTAGAGCAGTAGCTAAGAGCTTTATACCTTGATCCACAGATAGAGAGAGGACGACATTGGGCCTGGTGTGGGCTTCTGAAACCTCAAGGCCCACTCCCAGTGACACACTTCCTCCAACAAGGCCACACCCACTCCATACCTCCTAATCTGTAGTTCAATTGGGGACCAAGCATGCAAATATTTGAACTTATGGAGGCCAATCTCATACAAACTGCCAGTGGTACAGAAGGTTAAATGTGGTCATCAAAGGCTTTCCCATATTGGTTACATTTATAGAAGTTCTCTCTGTTGCAAATCCTTTGATAGTACTGACGTGAACTGAAATAAGGGAGGCTTTACCACATTGATTTCATTCATGGGTTTTCTCTTCACTGTGGCTTTTTTTTTCTTGAATCAGAAGGACATGGAACAAGTTAATGCTTTCCCCACATTGCTCACATTCACGGGGTTTCTCTCCAGTGATTCCTTTCAAAGTACTGAAGTGGAAAAGGATAAGTGAAGGCCTTTTCACATTTCTTACACAGTTTTTTTTTCACTGCAACTTCTTTCATAACTGAAAGTAAAACTGGTTGTGCATAGGTATTTATGTGATCCAACTCTGTTGTGTGTTTCATGGCTGACGCACATAGGTTTTTTTTTCTAGCATGATTTCTTTGAACACAACTATGCATACTGAAGGGTTTTCTATATTGCTTGCATCTGTAGTCTTTTACATGTTTCAGAAATCATTGGGGAGAACTGAGGAAGTTTCCTCATTCCTTACATTTATAGTTCCTCTTCATATCTGTGAGACTCATCTGGCTTGTGTTTACTCTCAAATGTGCTGTGAACACTTGGAAACAATTGCACATTGAGAACATCTCCACACACCTTCCTTTTACATGGTTTTACTCCACAAGCATTAGTTTTCTTCATAAGAGGATCTAGAACACAGCTGAATTTTCTCCCCATTGACTGTTTTCATTATGTTCACATAATCTCTCTATAATTTGATGTCTTAATGTTTCTTGAATTGTTGCAGTCATCTTCAGTGTTCTGGTCTTCCTGTATTTTTTTTTCAATAACATCCAGGATCCTAAAAGCTTCTTGTATCACCTTTCAGTGGGGCTCCTCTTGAGAATGATCCAGGAAAGTCCGTCTCCAGGGTGATGTTCATCATCACATCTCAAAGGTCACAGACTCCATTTGTGTTTCCAGGTCTGGTGCTGTCCTCGCCACTGCTCCTGGGATCAGTATCCAGAAAACAACAACAGACTAACCACCCAAGGCCTCTCTCAATAGTCAGGGTTGTGTCATAACTATGGCGGCACTAGAAAGGCTCCATCCACTCACATTCAATCATGTGTATCTCAAAGGATTATCATTATTATTATCAACTGAACTTGCTTTTTGACAATTTCATACATGTATATACTGCATACTGATTACTCTCACCTCCTCCATTCTCTTCTATTTCCTTCTCACCCTTCCTCTCCCTTTTCTATAGATCTCTTTCTCACATTTCCATCTATTTGTTTTGTTTTGTGATCTCTTGAGTTTATCCAGGCACATCTCTGTGATCACAGTTTTGGACTTACCAAACCCACTTCTGGTGGGTTCAGGACTGAGTATACAACTGAAAACAATTTCTCCCTTTCCCATAATTTTTCAATATTCGATAGTTTAGTGGTAAGGGGTAAGGCCTTCTCCCATCCATAATTGATTGTTGACAGGGTCAGTACTGCACACAGCTAGAGCAAGTAGCTGAGGCTGCTAAGTCCATGATGGTAATAGTTGTGTCATACCTAAAGGTAGCATTTCACAACCTGTCTCCCTATGCTCCAGTTCTTTCTTTCTTTCCTAAAAGAATTAACTTTTAAAAAAATTTATTTTTATCATTTTGGTTATATATGTGCATGTAAATGTGTGGGTATATGCATGTATCTGTGTGGGTATAAACATGTATCTGTGTGGGTATAAACATGTATCCGTGTGGGTATATACATGTATCCGTGTGGGTATATACATGTATCCGTGTGGGTATATACATGTATCC